GAAGCCTGCCCCATGCCTGTACTTTTTCCTTATGTTCATTATCTCATTGGATGCTCAAGCACTGTGGAGCAGGTCAGTTAATTGAGCCTACCTACAGATGAAACCAAGGCCTGGAGCATTGAAATAACTTCCTCAGAGCCGTGCAGCTAGGGATGGGCAGTGCCATATGGATCATAGGGGAGGTGGGGCAGATGCAAAAAAGTCTCCTGGCCTGGGTGGGAAAGGGGCTGGCTCCTCCCTCCCCAACCTTGGTCAGAGGAAGAAGGAGGCTAGGCTAATGGGGTGCAGGACTGCTCCTTTTTGAAGACCAGCCATGTGGCCAAGAGACTAGGAATGGCAGCGGAGAGTTAGGGTGGAAGTGGGGGAAAACTAATGTTCTCGCAGGCCCTGAAACAACAGTGGGCATGTAGCAACTTCCTTAGGCCATGTCACTGCAGGAGCAGATACCGCTGGATGCCTGCCGTGTAGCCCCCACTTCCTCCTGCCTTGGTCCCACAGTGCCTGGCACTGACCCCAGCCTGGCAGGTGGTATCGCCTCCAAAGCCAGGGAGGTGGCCTTCCTCAGCTGCTTTTGCTTCACTCTGGGCTGCAGCCCAAGGCATGATGATCCCACTTGGGTCCAGTTAGCAGGTGGGAATCTAGTCCCAGCTGAGATCATTCTCCTAGGCAAAAATGGCAATGAGCAGTGTGTGAGCCCCCACAGAGAGCAGGCTGGACTCTCAAGACTATCTGGTAGACAGAGCAGAAACTGGTGGGATTTTCAGGGAGGGAAGGGTGACAGGCGCCTCACTGGGTACATGGGAAGCAGTACCTGAAAGTCAACTGAGGCAGGCCACAGTCATGAACTTGTCCTAAGAAGTAGGTCCCTGACTCCCAGGATGGGTACCAGATGCCAGGATGTAGGCCATGGCAAGTAGTCCAGGGCAGAGCAGATGCCAGGAACCAGAGCCCATGGCAAGGAGGGCCAGGCCAGATCTGGACAAGCCTGGGAAAGATTCAGAATTCAGCCCCTTCCTTCACCCCCACATCTGCTACACTGAATCACAGCACCATTTTATTTTTCCATGCCTTCTTGCAGCAGCCTCAGGACACCTGACATACGCTTCTGACTTGGGACCTTTGCACTGGCTGTCCCCTCTGCAGACCTGAAATGTTGTCAGATCCTTAAATGGCTGTTCCTTCCTTCTTTTAAAAGGAATTCCCTTTATGAGGAGGCCTTTCCTGCCTGTTCTAGAACTGTATTTCTTGGCACATAGTGCCTTCCTGCATCTTTCTCTGCTCCATCTTCACATCACCTTCTCTGACCTTCTTGGAATCTCCCTCTACCTCCCTTTCCTAAGGACACATTTAGGGCCTGCCTAGACAATCTGGGATAATCTCTTCATCTCAAGATCCTTAATTTAATCTGCAAAACTCCTGTCACCATATAAAGTAACATTCAACAGTTGCAGGGATATCTTGGGGGGCATTATTCAGCCTACCCCACTATGCTTTCTGAGCTGTGGAGAAGGAGGCAGGACCAGAGACCCAGCTTGTACGGCTTCCTCACTACCCAGGAGTCCCAGCAGCTACCCAAAGACACAGGGTCTTTTCTGTCCCTCACTTCCAGGGCAGGTAGAGCTGCTGCAGATCAGAGCCAAGAAGTGAGTGGATCACCTTGACATGGAGAAATCATAGCCTCTGTTCTCCCCCAAAGAACTTCATGCCCATTCACAGCTGCCAGCACAGGAGTTCCCCCACACTGATCTTAACTCAAAGATGTGCAAGGAAACAGCACCATGAGAGATAATTCAGTCATCTCCCAGGAGGCCCACACCAGTTCAGGCCTGATGTTAACCCTTCACACAAACACTCCTAACATTGACCACTCTTGCCTCCCATGAGGAGGTTTCTCCAGGCATGAGAGGAGAGCATCCCTTTTCTCAGTTTAGAAAAAGGCAGCAGTCCCTGGGGAGAGAATCTGGGCTGCCCTCGTTCTAGTGCATGCCTTTGAGTACTACACTTGGTCTCCCCTGGGCCTTGATTCCCTTATCTGTAAAATGGGGCCAGTCACACTGACCTCTTAGGTTTATTGTAAGGATGAACTAAGATAGTGTATGAGGAGGAGTTAAACCAGTGCAGGCACAATGGTCACTCCCAAAACGGCAACTCTTGATAATCCTCATACGATTCATGTTCTTGTTTTTTGTCCAATACAGCAACTTCCAGCTGTGTGCTAGGCCCTGGGTAGATAGAGGGCAGATGGACTTCCCACCCTCATGAAATCTATAGTTTCACAGGGAGCACAGGATACTCTTGAGATGCCTCTGTGAGACATCAGGCTGGAATCAGGAGGACTTCCTGCAGGAAGGGATGCCTGACTGCAACCTGAGGTGTGGAGAGTAGCTGAGAGAAAACAGAAAGGGGAATGCCTGGAGCAGAAGAAACAGGAGGTACAGAGGACCTGGGCAGAGTTTGGTATAGCCTGAAGTAACAAGGAGGCAGTAAAAAGAGAGCTGTGAGTGTAGAGATGTGTTTGACTCCTTTCACATGTGAATGTTCAACCAATGAGCACCCACTGTATGCCAGAAGCTGTTCTAGGTGCTGAGGAAACAGAACAATCCATACAGGAATCCCTGCCCTTGGAGAGCTGACACTGCAGAGGAAAGAGTCCATTAACAAGACAAACAAATACATACTGTCTAGTCAGTGCAAATGCAGACTCTCTCCAGTGCTCTGGAGAAAAATAACACAGAGACAGGAGTGTTAGGGGATAAAAACTTCTGAGCAAGTTTTTTTTTTTTTTACTTTTTAATTTTTTTTATTATTTTTTTTTCCACTTATTTTTATTAGTTGGAGGCTAATTACTTTACATCATTACAGTAGTTTTTGTCATACATTGAAATGAATTAGCCATGGATTTACATGTATTCCCCATCCCAGTCCCCCCTCCCACCTCCCTCTCCACCCGATCAGTGAGCAAGTTTTTTTAAAAGTTAAGTATGAAAGTAAGCCAGGGATATCTCTGAGAAATGGGATCTGAGTTTAAGATACAGCGTTTATTTGAATAGCTTGAATCAGTACTGGCTGCTAAGTAGATTTCATCTCCAGCAGCAAGTTAAATCAGTGAGTTTGGAGTTATGGTAGAGAGGCATTTGGACTCAAAGAGATAAGAGATCAACTAGTCTTGGGCCTCCCTGGTGGCTCAGATGGTAAAGAATCTGCCTACAATGCCGGAGACCCGGGTTTGATCCCTGGGTTGGGAAGATCCCCTGGAGGTGGGATCTGGAGAAAACTCCAGTTTTCTTGCCTGGAGAATCCCACGGACAGAGGAGCCTGGTGGACTACAGCCCATGGGGTTGCAAAGAGTCAGACACGACTGAAGCAACGTAGCATACGCACACACATTCTTGCTCATAGTGAATTCTCTTGGGTAAGTTTCTATAGCCAACCTCACCCAGCACACTGAGGCCTGGTGCAGACCCTGGTGGTCTATGTGAACCCAAGACCAGTTTGTGTTTCCACAGGGACGCACTCCCTCCGCTACCACTACCTGGACCTGTCCGAGCCGGGCCCGAGCCTCCCTAGGTTTCTGGCTGTAGGCTACGTGGATGATCAGCCTTTTATCCGGTATGACAGCCGTATGGACAAAGCTGAGCCCCAAGCTCCATGGATTTCGTCCAAGGATGCCACATACTGGGAGGACGAGACCAAGAAGCAGAGGAAATGGGCAGAGATTCATCAGGTGGAGACATCGATAGAGATGGGCTACCACAACCACAGCACCGGTGCGTTGGGTGGAAGCCCCATGCTCCTTCCTTCACCCTTTGCACACTCACTCTCCGGGCAGCTGTGCTTGTCAGAGGGTGTGGGGCAAGCCTCTGACACTTGGCTCTTCTCAGTCCACTTCCCCCACAGTCCAGCAGGGGCCTCAGGGCCTCAGAACAGTGCAGCAAGCATCATAGGAGCTGGGGGCCCATGATGTCTCCCCCTAACCCCTTGCCTGCCCCTTAGCTAACCTGGGTTCTGAAACTCAGCTGATGGGGAGAGGATTTCCCTGCCTCATCCTCACTCATGCAGTACCCCCAGGCCCTCTAGTACCACCTCAGCTTCTCCTTCTCAGCAACAGTGCACTTGGGCCCACCACCAGGGCTGCTGCTTATTCTGAATGAAGTGCTTATGGAGCACAGCTTGTTCACACAACACCGTCCCTGTCTGTGCCTGGATACCCAACTGCCCAGGCTAAAAGCCTCAGGTCCCAAGAGGCCTCAGAATCAGTAGATACAAAGGATATAAAGGATTGAGACTGAGAAGGGCTGTGCATCAGCCAAGGGCCCCCGGGATAAGCATGGCATGACTTAGTCTTACCGTTGAGAACATTTTACACCCACAGGTGGGTTTCCCTGTGGGCTCAGCTGGTAAAGAATCTGCCTGCAATGTGGGTGACCTGGGTTTGATCCCTGAGTTGAGGAGATTCCCTGGAGAAGGGAAAGGCTACCCACTCCAGTATCTGGCCTGGAGAATTCCATGGACCGTATAGTTCATGGGGTCACAAAGAGTCGGACACAACTGAGCAACTTTCACTTTCAAGTAGTGTGGGATATGATATAAGGATGTGTCTAATTATGAACTGGGGTGTTTGTCCCACATGAGAGGCCTAGCAGGTTTCTCAACCCAGGCTGCTTATGAAAATTACTTGGGAGATTTTTATCTAAATGATGATGCCCTGTCCCTCTACTTTTTTGATGTCCCTGTGTGTGGTGGACTTCTTTTCCCTGGGTCTCAGGGACTTGACCCCCAGTCCCTACTAGGGTGACAGCTTTCTTACCTGTACTCACAGGCATGCACAGCAGTCACCGCATGTTTGGCTGTGAGATCCAGGAAGATGGCCACTCCAACAGCTTCTGGCAGTTTGGTTATGATGGGGAAGACCACCTGTCACTGGATGTGGAAACTCTGAGCTGGATCTCAGCTAACCCTGTGGCTCTGGCGACCAAGCGCTGGATGGAGAGAGAGCGCTGCTATGCTGAGTACGACAAAGCCTACCTGGAAGGGCCCTGCCTCACCTCCCTGCACAGCTACCTGGAGCTGGGAGGCCAGAGATTCACCCGGAGAGGTAAGGTTCAGCCTGTGGCTCCCATTCTCAAGAGTCATCCCATTTAACAAACAAGTCTCTGGGAAATGAGGAGGCAGGCTGTGTCCCCAGGCTGTGTCCCCCTGGCTCAGGCAAGCTCTCTGGGATCCAGAAAAATGGCCAGCTAGCCAATGGCTTTTTGCTGCAGAGTAAGAAGAAAGCCCAGACCTCAGGTCTTCGTTCCAAATAAGATAGAGTGTGGAGTTCTGGAGTCTCCCCTGTTCCAATGTGGTCTTGGGAATAAAGTCTCTTAATCTGGGTCTCATTTTCTTCATCTATAGGGCAAGTGGGTTAAACTAGGTCCTCCTAAAGTCCTTTGGGGATCTACCAGCCTGTAACTCTGCTCCTTGGGAAAGAGAGCTCAGGTTCCAGGAGAACAGTAGCCCTCACCTCTCCCTAGACCACTGGGAACTGACAGGGAAGCTGAAGCTTTTATCCCCTTTCCTCCCCGACACGCCTCATGCTAAACGTGCTCCCCAGACTCCAGGTGCATCATAAACTTCTCCTGACCCCAGCCAACCAGGGCTAGAGACACAAAGGCTGGGGTGGACACTAGGGAAGGTGGGTGCTTGGGGATGCCTAGGGTGAAAGCCTTTCTGGCTGAGGTTGCCAGGGGTGGAGCTGATCAGAACACCCAGGACACCATGGATGTCTGGCAATTGAATTGTGGGATGTGAGTCAGCTGAGGTAATAAAGAGGATATTTCTCAAAGGGAGGACAGGACAGATCACATCAGGAGTAGAAGATGTGATTGTGAGAGCAGAGCATGGTGGCTCAGAGCTCAGGTATTGGAGCCTAGCCTCCAGATAACTCATCCAAGATCCAGGATTAACTGGTTGTGTGACCTTGTGCCAGTTACTTACGGTCTCTGCACTTTAGTTTCCTCATGAGTATAATGAGGATAGTAATAATAGCTGCTGCCTCTCCAAAGCACCATATTGGTGTGCGTTAAATAAGTACTGTGGAACTCTCATTTAGCACCTATGTGCTAAATGCACTCATTTGTCCTATGTCCTTCCCCTGGGAGATTAGTGAGGATTCTTCACAGAAGCAGAACCAACAGGCTACATGGAGAGAGAGAAAGAGTTGTGTTCTAAGGAACTGGCTCATGTGACTATAGCGGCGAAGTTCCAAGATCTGCGGTTGGCAAGCTGGAGACCCAGGAGAGCCAATGTTGCAGTTCCAGCCTGAGACTAAAGGCCTGAGAACTGGGAGAACTAGTAGTATGGTTCCTTCAAATGCTAGAAAGTTTGAGACCCGAGAAGAGTCAGTGTTTCAGTTTGAGTCTGAAGGCAGGAAAAGACCAGTGTTCCAGCTCAGCAGTCATGCTAGAGGAGCTCCGTTACTCAACCCTTTGTTCTGTTCAGACCTTCAGTATGGACCCACTCACACTGCAGAAGGCAGTCTGCTTCACTGAGTCCAGTGATTCAAATGTTAATCTCAGGCAGAATACTCTTCAACATAAATCACAGCAAGATCCATTTTGACCTACCTCCTAGACAAAAATAAACACATGGGACTACATTAAGCTTAAAAGCTTTTACATGATAGAGAAAACATAAACAAGATGAAAAGACAACCCTTAGAATGGAATAAAATATTTGTAAACAAAGCAACAGACAAATGATTGATTTCCAAAATATACAAACAGAATATGCAGCTCAGTATTAAAAAAAAAAGACAAAAAATAACCCAACCAAAAAATGAGTAAAGACCTAAGCAGACATTTCTCCAAAGAAGACATACAGATGGCCAACAAATGCATGAAAAGATGTTCAGTGTCACTCATTATTAGAGAAATGCAAATCAAAACTACAACGAGGTATCATCTCACACTTGTCAGAACAACCACCATCAAAAAATCTACAAACAGGGACTTCCCTGGTGGTCCAGTATTAAGACTCTGCCAGGCAAGGCAGGGGACATGGATTCAAGCCCCGTCAGGGAACTAAGATCCCACATGTCGCGAGGCAACTAAATGTGCACAACACAACTAGAGAGAAGTCAACTTGCCGCAACAGAGAACCGGTGCAGCCATAAATAAATAAATAAATAATATATATATTTAAATCTACAAACAGTAAGTGCTGGAGAGGGTGTGGATAAAATGGAACCCTCTTGCACTGTTGGTAGGAATGTAAATTGATACAGTCACCATGGAATATAATATGGAGGTTCCTTAAAAACCTTAAAATAGAACTACTATATGACCCGGCAATCCCACTACTTGGCATATACCCTGAGAAAACTACAATTCAAAAAGACACATGTACCCCAATGTTCATTACAGCACTATTTACAATAGCCAGGACATGAAAGTGAAACCATTCGCCTCAGATTGGGACTCTAAGTCACATGGCCAGGACTTGAACACAGCTGAAACCCCACGTGGGACTCCAACCATGATCTTTTCATTAGAATCACTCACCTGGTGTCTGGACTTAATCAGGAACAGTTTCTTTGTGTCTCAGCACAGAAGGAGTCCAGCAAGAGGCAAAGTGATGGGTTAGCAGTAGATATTTATAAATATAGGACACTTAGAAGAGATGTAAGCAGGCAGGCCAGGGAGCTCTACCCTAAGGATTAAGTGGGCTACAATTTTATAGTCAAAGGAAAGGGGGAGGGAGAAAGTACCACCTTCTTTGAGTAGACAGGAGATCTACATCAGTAGCTCCTCCTTTGTATCAGGCAGGAGACTGACCCAGGAGGTCAAACTAGGATTATCATAGCACTTATTCAAATCAGTAGAAGGGTGGTGACATTTTTCTTCCACCTAAAGGCCCGAGACACATCTCATGCTTATAGTTAAGCAAGCCTGCTTCATTTCATGATATTCCAATAGCTTTCTTGAGTGATCATTAACTGACAGTGGTCTCCCAAAGTTTCCTAGGTTTCCCTTTCTATCTATAGTACCCTACTGGGACATCTATAGCTACTTATATAACTATTCTATTCTATTCCTCTCAGAAGCAACCTAAACATCCATCAACAGATACATAGGTAAAGAAGATGTGGTACATACATATAGTGGAATATTGTTGTCATTCAGTTGCTCATTCATTTCAGATTTTTTGCGACCCCACGGACTGCAGTATGCCAGGCTTCCATGTCCTTCACCATCTCCCGGAGTTTGCTCAAACTCATGCCCATTGAATTGGCGATGTCATCCATCTCATCTTCTGTCATCCCCTTCTCCTCTTGCCATCTATCTTTCCCAGCATCAGGGTCTTTTCCAATGAGTTAACTCTGCATCAGGTGGCCAAAGTTTTGGAGTTTCAGCTTCAACATTAGTCCTTCCAATGAACACCCAGGACTGATCTTTAGGATGGACTGGTTGGATCTCATTGCAGTCCAAGGGACTCTCAAGAGTCTTCTCCAACACCACAGTCCAAAACCATCAATTCTTCAGCACTCAGCTTTCTATATAATTCAACTCTCACATCCATACATGACTACTGGAAAAACCATAGCCTTGACTAGATGGACCTTTGTTGACAAAGTAATGTCTCTGCTTTTTAATATGCTGTCTAGGTTGGTTATAACTTTTCTTCCAAGGAGTAAGCGTCTTTTAATTTCATGGCTGCAGTGATTTTGGAGCCCCCCANGGGCTCCAAAATCACTGCAGATGGTGACTGCAGCCATGAAATTAAAAGACACTTGCTCCTTGGAAGAAAAGCTATGACCAACCTAGACAGCATATGAAAAAGCAGGGGCATTACTTTGCCAACAAAGGTCCATCCAGTCAAAGCTATGGTTTTTCCAGTAGTCATGTATGGATGTGAAAGTTGGACTATAAAGAAAGCTGAGCACCAAAGAACTGATGCTTTTGAACTGTGGTGTTGGAGAAGACTCTTGAGAGTCCTTTGGACTGTGAGATCAAACCAGTCCATCCTAAAGGAAACCAACCCCAAATATTCACTGGAAAGACTGATGCTGAAGCTGAAACCAATACTTTGGTCACCTGATGGGAAGAATTGACTCATTGGAAAAGACCCTGATGCTGGGAACGACTGAAGGAAGGAGGAGAACGTGATGACAGAGGATGAGATGGTTGGATGGCATCATCGACTCAGTGGACATAAGTTTGAGCAAACTCCGGGAGTTGGTGATGGGACAGGGAAGCCTGAAGTGCTGCAGTCCATGGGGTCGCAATGAGTTGGACACGACTGAGTGACTGAACTGAACTGATTAGGTACCTACTGTATGCAGAAAGTCACAGAGGAAGTAAATAAAGTCACTGAGAAAACCCTAGGATCTCTGTAGGAAGAAGGAGGTATGTCAGACTAGGACCCAACAGCCCCCCAGAGGAAGCTCCTTGGAGGTTGGGGACAGAAAGTCAGTCCCCCTCATGGCAATTAACAGGTCAATGCTCCTTTGTAACAGCCGGAAATCAGTCATCCCTGCCTACAACAGTAATTGGGTACATCCCCTAGACAGAGACCTCGTCCCCATTTCCTTGTCCTCCACCCTGGAAGATGCTGGAGTAGCCCAGAATTAAGCCTAAGGGATAGGCAGAGAACAGCCACTCAGCAGTCTTCCTCCCTCCTCCTTTCCTTGCAGAACCACCCACAGTACGGGTGACAAAGCACTCAGCCCAGGATGGAGGTACCACCCTGAGGTGCTGGGCCCTGGGCTTCTATCCACAAGACATCTCACTGAGCTGGTGGCTGGGTGAGAAGAAGTTGAATTCAAAGCTTGAGTATGTGGAGACACGCCCCAGTGGAGATGGCACCTATCAGACGTGGATGGCCGTGTGGGTGCCGGCTGGGAATGAGACCCAATACACATGCCATGTGCAGCACTCCAGCCTGAATCACACGCTCACTGTGTCCTGGGGTGAGAAGCTGGGCTTGCCCGGGAGGGGCTGAGGGGGGAGAAGGGCAGGGTCCCAGGGGACCAGAGACAATCCCATGATCTGGGAGTGCCCACTTTTCTCTGTTTTTCTTAGAAATGCCCTCTCATCCAGGACTTGTGGCCATAGTTATCCCTCTCATCCTGATCTTGCCGGCGATTGGCGGTGTTGTGAGCTTGATCAAGTGCCTTCGAGGTAGGTGGGTAAGGAACAAAGGAGTGGCAAGCCCTCTGGCTGCAGAAGGCTTTTAGGGAAGGAATGTATCCTTCCCCGCCGCAGCAAGAACTGTTTTCTCCTGGGAGCAGCAACTACTGCTGAGGTCCTGCCCCCTGTCCCCCACCTGTAGAAAAGCCCAGATGTCCCCACCCCACCCCAGTTGCACACCACCAGGAGGACCCTGTGGATTCCACAGTCGGGGGAGACCTGGGACTGACTTGGGAAAAGGCCCAGATAGGGGAGGAAGAGGGGTGGTGGGGACCCACTCACCGGGTCTCCTGTGTTCTTTTTCTCCACAGCCAGGAATAAGGAGCCTTACGAGCAAGCCCCAGGTGATCATGGTAAGGACCAGTTGGGGAGAGGAAACCCCAAATGTTCCCAACACAGCAGAAATGCCTTAGAACTCAGGATGGGGGTGGAGCATGGGGTGTATGCTTTCCCTGGCCTCAGTCCCCTGCCCCCAGGCAGAGGGGGTAGGGAGCACTCCAGAGAGCCACTGTCCGGGTTTGGAAGAGGGTTGGGGAGCCTACTGGGGTCACCTCCTTTCCTTTCTTCCTGCAGGTGAATAGGACCCCCATAATTCTCAAAGCCCAGCAAGATCAGGAGCTGCTCAACTCATCTGCTGACAGAAGTCACTGTCACAAATCAAGGATGTGTTTTGTGGAGTGTGCACTGGCTGGCTCATGTGATCTGTGAAGGGCCCACCCAACCCAAAACTGAGCCCTCTTCATCCCCACCAGCCTTCTTACAAGCAGTCTGTGCCACTAAGATGGCTTTACCCTCTTCCTGAAGCCCTTTTAAAAGTGTAATTATTTCCAGTTTGGGGGGTGGGAAGGGGGGCTGTAGTAATCCCGCAGCTTCTCTTACACTTGACAGTTTGCAGAGTGATTTCATGTTAATTGTAAATCCCACTTGAGCTTCTCAGGCACTCTATGAGTTTGGCAATGTTACTCTCATTCCCACTTGCCCAACCTGAAAACCAAGCGTCTGGGCAGTCAGGGAAAAACCAGAAAAGTATCCAAGAGTTACAGGGGCAGCATCCTGTGTGAACCTGCTAGCATCAGAAAGAAATGACTGACTGACTGCTTCTTTTATAGGTGTGTTCTGTATATATGTATGATCTCCTTCTGTATAGATTATAGAGTGTTGGGTGTGTGAGGGTATAGGAGAGGCAGTAAGAGTAGGTGTGTGAAACTGAGGAGGTGTGTTAGGGTGAAGATGTGTGGGTGTGTATGTTTGAGGGTGAGAGGATATATGAGGTGCATGTGAGGGGGAGTGTATGTGTGGTGTGTGGTATCCTTTTGTATTTGAGGAGAAGCTCAGAAGACAGGTACCTGGAGACCTGTTAGTTAGTCCCAGGCAACTGAAGGTTGGGACACAATTCAGACCATACTTTCCCTATGTCCTATCCTTTTGAATTGTTGAATTTTTACAATAGGCACAGGTTACTGATAGAGTAGGAAAAGACCCCTTTTCTCTGTGTCACATGAAAATGCCTGTGAAGGATATGTCTGGAGAAGGCCCAGCCTCACCTTTGCATGTTCAGTGGAGCAGAAACCCCTTATCTCCTCTCTGAACAAGAATCCAGTCTCAGGGCCATCTGGTGTGCTAGCAGCTGGGACTCCAGAGCCGAGGCAGAGAGAGCTCTCTCCATTGTCATAGGACACAAGGTCAGACCCATTCCAGAGCACCCGCTGCCTCCCCTTCAGCTGACCCCAAAGTGCGACAGAGCCTCCTGTGGAGAGTTTGAAACCTCTATGTCTACAGCCCTGGGAGGCTCAAAGGCCAAGGATGTGAACGCTTGTAATACTAGAAAAAGAGTCAACCTACCTTGGTGGCCTGTAGAACCTAAGCAGTGAGCTTGTAATGATTGACTTGTACTGAAGACGTGTCTTATATGTCTGTCTTTCTCACTGATGTTGTCATGCCCCATATATGCTGTGCAAACCACATACTAAGCAGAGTTCTAGGCACTTTATTGTATGTTAGTCGCTCAGTCACGTCCAGCTCTGTGAGACCCCATGGACTGTAGTCCACCAGGCTACTCTGTCCATGGAATTCTCTAAGCAGGAATACTGGAGTGGATAGCCATTCCTTTCTGCAGGGGATTTTCCAGACCCAGGGATCGAACCTGGGTCTTCTGCGTTGCAGGCAAATTCTTTACCATCTGAGCCACCAGGGAAGCCCTTTATTTTGTACTTTATTGTATACTAAGCTATTTAGTCTTCCAAGCATGAGTGTAGGGGGGAATAAATACTTCTGTGGTACAGGTGAGGAAACTGAGGCCCAGGGTCCCACAGCTGATTCATGCCAGAGCTGGGATGTGAGGACAAGCAGTCTGGCTGCTACAGCCTGGCCACCTCACCACTGCACCAAAGCCTCAACAGTAACTGAGCTGTTCTGTAAATGGGCAAGTAAGTACAGGTCTACAATCCCTTTTTTGCAATTCTGAAATCTACAAAAACCTCTGGAAGCTAGAAGCATCTTCCCAACTTTGTCATCAAAACATGACCTGGGAGAGGGGCAGGAGGGGAAAAAAAAAAATCCTAAAGTGAAGTGAGGTTCAGTGCTTCCACTGCCAGGGGCACAGTTTTGATCCCTAATCAGGGAACTAAGATCCCACATGCCCCACTATTGAACAAAAAAGAAAAAGAGTCAAGTGGGGTTATTCATATTCTTCATTAACTTCCTTTAGTGTGCCTTTTCACATTTTTTCACAGAAATATTGATTTGGGGGATTATTGGATGTCACCCCAGACATCTCTGGTAGTATTATATAATATTCAGTATTCACATCTTGGTATATTTCTAAAGCCCAAAGAATTCTAAATTCTAAACTATATCCAGCTCTAAGGGTTTTGGGTAAGGGATTATGGACCTGTATTAATAAGGTTTTGTGGTAATAAACGTGTTTTATTTTTACAGTTCTCTGGCTGTGTGGTGAGATAAGTTAGAACAAAGGTCAGGTCTGGTCCCCACCAATGAGAGGCACAAGTGCCCAAGTGGACCCTCAAGGCTCCCTCAGCCCTGGGTATACTTGGGGCCTCCTGAGAAGAAGTGGAACTTTCTTCTCTGGGGAAGGAGTGGAGGCAGAATGTTTTTGGGAAGAAGCAGATAGAAGGAGCCTTCTGATTAGTCTTTCTCTCTTTGAATTGCTATAGCTGGGTCACCCTTCAGTACCCCACACATACCCCGAAGATTTCAGGCTCCTCTATAGACCCTCCAGACCCACCTCCCAGTTTTGATCTCATCCAACCAAGTGTAGCCCTTAGACTGACAATCTGCATGACTTCTTTGATGCAAGGGGGTGGTGTATTCAGGGAGTCTTAGATATAGGGTCTGGCTTCTGTAATTATGAACACTGGGCAGAATAGGCTGGAAGTTCCTGTCCAGTTCTGGGCTTCCCTGTGTCTAGGACCCTGAATACTTCTGGGACTGTGGAATTATGGGGTCATCTCTCCAAATGAGAAACAAGGGGCAGAGAGGCCATAAACTAGAACACTGCCATAACAGCCCCTGTAGGACAGCAGCAGGGCCCCTGGCACCTGCCCCTAAAGGGTATGGTCTTTCCTTCTTCCATTAGCCTCACTGGCTAATTGGTTTAGGAACTGCCAGAGGGCAAGGGACATGCAATCTACATCTGTCCTGGATATCCATCCACAAACCCTGGTTTTTGCACCTCACTGCCTTATCCTGCTGGTTTTACTCACTCTGTCCACCCAGCCTCTGATCTTCTCATCAGAACATAACATTTACAAGAAAACCTGGGGTTCTGGGACCAAGGAGCTGATAGAAATGCCTGAGGCAAGGAGACAGCTGTTTAACTGCCTACCCTGGCCTGAGGGGCCTTCCTCCCCTTTCCTGAGTCCTACTAACCCTTCCCTGCTGGAGTAGCCCCCACCCCAAACTTGACACCCCAGGCAGAACCTACCAGCTTTTTTGCTGCCAGTGGCTCCACTGTCCTGATGTTCAAGAAGTATCTGCTACATAAACAGATTATGAAATCTTTGGTAACTGGATCGATTTTGTTTTAATCATATCTCCCTTATAGGCTAGTTCAGGTGTTTTGCCCATGAAAGTGAAAGTGAACTCGCTCAGTCATGTCCGACTCTTTGTGACATAGAACCATAAAATACATTTTAGGAAAACAAAACAAAACAAAAAACATATATAAATACAAAATAAAATAATACATTTTGGACCTAAAAGGATCCTGAAGCACCTCTTTGAACCCCTGATAATTTGACCCTCTCACTAACTGCCCCACCCCCATCACACTACTTCCCTCTGCTGAGGTTTTGAGGCCTCTCACATTAGAGTCCTTCCTGTCCAGGCTGTGAGCTCTCTCTCAAGCGCATTTCTTTTACCTCCCATCCACACCCCAACATATTTTGGTTTATGTCTGGTGCAGCTGCAAAAATTGAAATAAAGGAACACAATTCAATTACCACCCCACAACCAGTAGGAGTGAGCCCAGGGGTCTAATGGCACCAAGGGATGAGCAGGCTTAGAAAGCATGGCTGTCTCCCATAACCCAGGTTTTGCTCCACCCCCATTTTTGTTTTTTTGGCTTTTTAAAAAATATTTATTTATTTATTTATTTGCCCCCATCAGTCTTGGTTGTAGCATGAAGGACCTTCGTTGCGTCATGCATTGTGGTACACCGGCTCAGTAGTTGTGGAGTGCGGACTCAGTTTCTCTAGGGCATGTGACATCTTAGGTCCCCAACCAGGGATCAAACCCAAGTCCCCTGCATTGCAAGGCAGACACTTAACCACTGGACCACCAGGGAAGTCCCTCCACCCCCATTTTTGTTTCACTGCTTAGTAGCAGCTGGTCAATTGTCTCAACCAAAGTCTGGTTCTCTGAGCCTAACTGAACCCGCCTGGACATCTGCCTCTCTTGGCTTCCTTCCCCAGCCACTGCTGCCAGGGGAGAAACTTGTGAGGGGACAGAAGGCAAATGCAGAGGGAGTTGGTCTTAGCCCTGAGTGTTCCTCTCAGCTTCACCGATGGACACCATGGTCTCAGGAGTGGACAGAGGTAGGAAGGCAAGGGTTCTGAGTGCCCTACAAAGGGCATGGGAATCTGGCAGGGGTGGGATGGCAGGTTTGCAAGGGCTTCTCCCTCAAATCCTAGATCTGAGGGAACAGCCTTCCTATCCAGCAGGGCACTGACTTTGTGTCCTGAGGGCACGACCATGGGCCTCTCTAGGGAACTGCTTCCTTCTGTCAGCCATTCTGGGCTGTGGCTCAGAACCTGTGGGTGGAGTGCTAAGTCATATTTCTAAGCCTCAGGCCACCCTGATGGCCTCCCTACTCCCATTTGCACAAATCTCACATGCTAACCACTTACTCAGGAGTCTTATCCCAAACCACAACTTCTTGAAGGGCTATTTCATTCAGAACAGAATTCTCTGGTTGTTCAGTGTGGCCTGGCGCTGTGATTATGTGTCAAATGAATGAAGGAATTCACTAATTAAATAATAATAAATCATGGGTATTCAAAGAATACCATTAGAATCCAAACTCTCCAAACAGGAAGGCCTTCTTACAATATCATCTCCAGTGCAGCTTGACTTACCCAGTTTCCCTCACTGTTCCAGCCTTGCCTCTCCTGCTCCCAAGTCCATCCAGAACTCAGAGACCCGGACATGCCTGCCCTGGGTACCATGATGAATTATGCAGGATATCCAAGCAGCCACGGCCTGGTCAGATGGGAACTAATGACAAAGGCCAACAGGAAGGCCCAGCCCTGGGCTGGTATTCTTTTTCCCCTCTAACTTCCTGGAAATGTTCACAGATCAGTGTGGCATCAAAAGCATAATCAAGGACATAGGCTCTTTAACAACTGTGTTTTTCTAGACTCTCCTTGCCCCAAACTGCCACACAGTACAAATGGAACCACACGACCTCATCTCAAAGCAAACAGTCAGGGAGGAGGGGGTCAACCTTCCAGCTGTCTATGCCAAAGGCCTGACCCTCCAGGTCCCTTTACTCCACAGTGCCAGAGTCAGGATTGGGAAGAGACCCAGGAAGCCCAATCTCTCTGCACCACAGCCAAGGCAGAGAAGAGGCTGGGCCTGTATTAAGGAAGAGCAAGGCTGACCCACTGGTCACACTCACTCTGTCCAGCCAGGACCTCTGGACTCTGACAGGGAGGAGACAGTGCTAGGGCATGGTGGACAAGCCTGAGTCTTGAACCCAGAGCGTAGAGACAAACCAGAATTGTAACATTAGAAGGCATTCTGGGGACTTCCCTGCCAGTCTGGTGCTTAGGACTCTGTGCTTCCAATGCAGCAGCTTGCAACTCCCATCCCTGGTAAGGAAACTAAGATCCCATATGCCACGTGGCAGAGCAAAAAAACCACCACCAACAGCAAAGTCCTGCTATATAGCACAGGGAACTATATTCAGTAACCTCTAATACACCATAATGGAAAAAATATATATAAGTATATATGTGTAACTGAATCACTTTGCTCTATGCCTCAAACTAACACAATATTGTAAAACAACTATACTTTGATTAAAAAAAACAACAAGGCATTCTGGAGATCTTCCATTCTAACCCCATATCCTAGGGTTCAGTAAGTTTTCTTGTGAAGTGTCAGACAGTAAATATTTTAGACTTTTCTGGCCACAGTCTCTGTCTAAATATTCACCTTTGTTTTCTTGTTTTACAACTCCTTTAAAATTTAAGAATGGCTCTTTGCTCTTGAGCCTTACAAAAAGAAACCGAGGGCCAGATTTGCCAACCCCTGTGTGGTCAAGCCCATGCTACACTGCCTCTCGGATACCTCTGACAAAGTGCTTCCTGGTGTCTGTGTGACAAATGCTTGCCTCCTTCACTATCAACTGGAATATAATCATCTGCCATTGTGTGGGATTCTTCAGCCTAAAAAGGCTGGATAAATCTTCTGAAATCAGAATCCTGAGAAAAATGCCCTGGCAGCCACCTTCATTGCTGAGCCCTAGCTCCTGATTGCCCTCCACAGCTCTCTTTTCCCTGGGACAATGACACCTGAGGCCCTGTGTGGGCCAAGTGGTCTGCTCCAACTACCCGCAGCCCCCATTTGAGTTCAAGAGAAGGCTGGCAGTCCTTCTGTGAACAGGAGAGTGCGCCTGGTTGCTGAGGGTACAGGTTGCAAGAGGGCTTAAAACCAAGCCTCCTGTATACCCTGGAAAATATCAGCAAGGCTTCCCAACATGAAGGAATCTAAACAAAGCCCCTCTCTCAGGTGCCACTTAGATTTGAGGGGAGGTATTTAGAAGAAAAGCAAGATAAAATAGGTACTGAATTAGGTCTTCATTCAGCTAAGTATTCTTGAGAATGGGTATCCACTATATGTTTAAGTCACGTTGGTTCCCTCAGGATGCTCCCTCTAGCCTCCTCTCACCATCTTCTTTCACTCATTCCTCCTTGCTCTTTCTCCAGCTCTCCTTCCCACCTGGGCTCTGCTCCCTGGGGCAAGCAGGAACTTGCTTTCATAAGCAGGCCCCTCTTCTCTTGGTCTGCTCCCCAGCTCTTTGCCCACCCCCTTCCATGTGCAGGGGAGAACCTGCATTCAGGGATGGGGAAGTATTCCAGCCTTGAAACTCAATTCCAGTTCCTGTTGTACATATTACCCACAGTGGCTTCTCAGTCATAACCTCCAGGATGGCTCTCAGATTGTATATGGGAGCTCACATGTTTGTTTTCTAACAAATAAACACCATGGATATGTGTCCCACTTTACACAGGGAAGACCTGGGTTTCAACTCCTGCCCTCTCCAGACTAAAGGCTCTCAGAACCACTAGGATAACAGAGAATTCCCTGTCAGTTCAGTGGTTAGGACTCTGCACCTCCACTTCAGTGGGGAGGAGTTTGATCCCTGCTCTGGACCCTGAGGACAAAAAAAAAAAGTAGGATGACATATGGTGGGTTATTTTCCCCTCAGGGTTCCAATCACCTGAACATACTTGAAGTAAGAGAGAATAAGAGATAAGGGAGAGTTTCTTCTGAGACTTATCTACTACAGGAAAGGAGTATAGTGGCAGGTGATAAAAACACAAAAATAACTCCAGTGGGCACTGTTCTAACCATTACAATTAATCCAGTTTTACAACAACCCATGATGTATGTGCTAGGGTTCACTAGTGGCTCAAACAGTAAAGAGTCTGCCCGCAATGCAGGAGACCTGGGTTCAATCCCTGGGTTGGGAAAATCTGCTAGAGAAGGGAATGGCAACCCAATCCCAGGATTCTTGCCTGGAGAATTCCACAGACAGAGGAGCCTGGCAGGCTACAGCCCATGGGCTCACAAAGAATCGGACACGACTGAGCGACTGACACACATGATGCGTGTGCTACTATCATCTTTATGTTGCATGTGGGAAAACTGCAGCACAGGGATGTTAGTAGCTAACCCAAGGTCATACAGAAAATGAGTAACAGGGTTGGGGTCTGAACACTGGCTGGTGCTGATAGCTCATGGTGAAAGGTGCAGCTTCGGGACTAGGGACCAGGCTTGATCACTCAAAGAGTTTTTGTGTAATAGAGTTTTATTAAAGTGAAAAAGGGACACAGAAAACTTCTGACATGGACATCAGAAGGGGGACGACAGTGCCCCCACTTGCTAGTCTTATCAAGGCCTTATATACTTTTACCAGACCCATGTCCACAACATACATCTTAAATTAACAAGATTAGAACTAACAACAGAAAGGTCTTACCAGACCCATTCCCATAACATACATTTTAAGATGACAGGGTTAGTCAAAAGGTTCTCAAGAAGAAACATGTCCTCGAGCAAGAAAAATTGTTATGTTGCCTAAGATTAAAAAAATGTAGAAAAAAATCATTTATCCTTTTCTCCTTGAGAGCCCCAGACCCCTTTCTCCTTCTTGAGGGCTCGGGACCCCTCTCTCCTCCTCCTCCCCCTCCTCCTCTGGGACCCTGGACTTCTTATCAACCTGCCTAGGAACTGACTTTCAGTGCCATCCTCTGGGAAGAGTCTCCTTCAGGAGTTTATGCCTAGGCAGAGACCTGAAGCTTAATTAGGGATTATACCTACATGAAGCAGCAAAGTGCGAGCCTTCTAGGTGAGTGAACAACATGGCCAAAGACAGAGGCAACAGCCTGGCAAGAGTGTGTCAGACCTTCATTTCATGTAAATGGTACTGATGGCTGAAGGATGCACTGAAATGAGTGCAAATGACCCTTCAGAAAATTTTTTGTCCATTTGGAAGCTAATAGGGTAAAATATAGGCTGGAAGAAACAGAAATAGAGAAGACCTAGATTTGAGGAGACAAAAATCAGTAGGACTTGATCCTAGCAATTTGTTGGGTTTCACTTATTTACTCTGCAGATATATAGTGAGTATTAGCTGTATATTCAGCACTATGATAGAGGAGCTGTATATACCATGTTGAATAGTGCATTTATCATTCTTGCTCTGTGTTCAAGCTCAGGCTCAGAGAGGAAGAGCACGGGATCCAAGGTTGTCTGAAGTTTCTGTTAGGGCAAGTGGAGTTCCTCACACCAAACTGACCAATTAGTGAGGTCACTTTGCAGTCACTCCAGTGGGTCTTGAACAGTATCTTATTGAAGCAGAACATATCAGAGTGATATGAATGCCTCAAGGAAAAGAACAATTTCCCCAAATTTTGTTTCTGTCATATATGTGGAAGCCTGTACTGGATCAATATGTGCAATATACTTCTCAATGAGGGCCAAGTTAAACAAACAGACCCTGTAAACCTTGGGTGACAGATGACCAAACGTCTATAATTCTGTAACTCCTTGAAGGACCCTATCATGCCTCACTCATTTTCTGTTGTTATTGTTCTTATAATGTGGACAGATGAAAGTGGGTGGATAAATGGATGGAAGGGTCATTCGTGCATATGATGGATGAATGGAAAGGCAGAGGGATGAATGAAAAATGAATGGTTATTTGGGTAAGTGGATGAGTGCTTGCATGGAAAGAAAGTGAAGTCGCTCAGTCGTGTCCGACTCTTTGTGACCATGGACTGTAGCCTACCAGGCTTCTCCGTCCATGGGATTTTCCAGGCAAGAGTACTGGAGTGGGTTGCCATTTCCTCCTCCAGGGGATCTTCCCCACCCAGGGATCAAGACCGGGTCTCCCGCATTCTAGGCAGACGCTTTTACCGTCTGAGCCACCAGGGAAGTCGCATGCATGGAGAAAAGATGCTGAACGGAAGGATTACAGATGGAGGTGAAAAGATCCACAGACGAAGTCGGTGTAGGGTATGATGAGTCTAAGGTTTCTGAGGGCAGGTAGCAAGAAAGGGGTGAATTGATCTGAGAAGGAAAGTTGGAAGCACCCAGGTTTTTATGCGAGATTCTTCCACTTCACGGCCACTCAGGGGCACAGCAAACTCAATCCCGCCAGGTTCCTACAGACCACACCCTCGAGCGCGGGAGCCTCGCAGGAGTCCTCCCTAACACAAAAGCCTCTGGGTAGACGAGGGTCGGAAATACAGGAGAGCACCAGAGATTGGTCGCCGCACTTACGACCCTTTTGGGTACATGCGGGGACGCGCTTTCCTAAGCGGCTGCTGGACCCTCTGGGTCTGGCTGATTAGAAAACTCATGGCTTAAACTGATTCTCTAGCCGCCTCCACCCATTCTGACCAGGCAGTTTTTCCTATCTGTGATAGCAGAATGGGCAGCCGGGGTTCTCGCCTGGCGCGTTTCCGGGGGCACCATAGAGAGGTGGTCCTCCGCCTGCCCAGTCCGCCGTCTCCCGCGTGTGAGCGTGCCTACGTCATTTTCGGTTGCCTCCGACTGGATGAGGAGCGCCGGCTTCTGAGGAGAACGCCGCCGGGTCGCGCACACCCGGAGGCAGGCGATAAGCGTGGAGTGGTCTGAATTTGAACGCTGAGTCTCGAAGGGCAGTGGGGGCCCGCAGTCTGGTTCTTTCCCCACTGCCTTCGGAGGGCAGCTGTGAGTTCAGGGAGCGCCTGAGAGAAGGAAACAAGGCTTCTCTGAGAGCCTGAGGAAGGAGAGCAGAGTTGGGGACAGCTTTGAATCACCAGCGTAGCTTGGAGGCAGGTCCGCAGGTGCGTCCCCTGCTCCTCGGCTCTGAACTGGCGCATCCACACCAACCGGCAGCGCGTTAAGATGGCAGGCAGTGCCACTACTAATCCCTTGCAGACACTTCAGGAGGAAGCCGTGTGTGCCATCTGCCTGGACTACTTCCAGGATCCCGTGTCCATCGGCTGTGGTCATAACTTTTGCCGAGGGTGTGTGACCCAGCTGTGGGGCAAGGAAGATAATGAGCAAGACAGGGAGGAAGAGGAAGATGAATGGGAGGAGGACGAGGACGACGACGAGGCAGTAGGGGCCATCGGTGGATGGGGCAACTCCATTCGGGAGGTTTTATACCAGGGGGATGCTGACGAGGAGTTGTTCCAGGACCAAGAGGATGATGAACCCTGGGTCGGTGACGGTGGCATAAGGGACAGAATGGATTATGTGTGGGACCAAGAAGAAGAGGAGGAAGATACGGACTACCACCTGGGAGGCTTGAGACATGACCTGAGAATTAACGTCTACCTGCAAGAGGAGGAGATTTTGGAAGAATACGATGAGGAGGACCAAGAGCTGTACCCTGACACTCACCTGGCCCCGCCTCCAGCCCCTCCACGGCAGTTCACTTGCCCCCAATGCCGAAAGAGCTTTAAGCGTCGCAGCTTTCGTCCCAACTTGCAGCTGGCGAACATGGTCCAGATAATTCGCCAGATGTGTCCCACTCCTAATCGAGAGAGCCGGGTGAATGATCAGGGCATCTGCTCCAAACACCAGGAAGCTCTGAAACTCTACTGTGAGGTGGACAAAGAGGCCATCTGTGTGATATGTCGAGAATCCAGGAGCCACAAACAGCATAGTGTGGTGCCATTAGATGAAGTGGTACATGAGTACAAGGTAAGCAGCATGGGAGAATGTGGGGATTTGAAGGAAGTGAAGGAGAAACCAGGGCAGCTGGGTACTTTGTAGCTGAGCCTCTTTTTTTGTGAGGGATGAGGTACAGGGTGAAGAGAGATGGACGTATGTGGAGAAAAGAAACATTGGCTGAGGCTGACTGGCTTCCCCAGAGGAAACTGAGTAAAGACTAAAGACAGTAATCAGGAGCTGATCACTGTCTTTACTCCCTTTCAATTTGCCCAGGTGTAAGGGGGTACAAGTGACAGCCTCCTCCCCACTCCCCGACTTAATTTCCCACTTATATAAGTACTGAGTCTATACCTGACCAAGACTCCAGGACCCTTAATACACAGGAATGGAAAGCTATAGTGCTTGTAGATAACTAAACATTTAGGACACAGCACAAGCAGTGTCAAAACTGAGGGCTAATTGGTAGACCAAAAAGCCAGGGTGTGGTTCCTGCTAATAAGAGCAGCTGGACATACCTGCCTAATAAGTCTGGAGTTACTTTCCTGCCTTCAGTGGGGCCCATTTCCCCTGTAGAGAAAGGCAGAGGACATAAACATCAGAATAAACCTGCCCTGATCATTTTCCTTACCTGCTACTTTATCATAGCAGAAGTTAAGGATTTAGAATCAGATGATCTGGCTCTAAAACTTACTGTCTAATCTTGGGCAGCCCTCAATCTCTTAGCTTTACTTTTCCCCTAGGCTTGTTAAGATGAAGAGAGATCTTATATGAAAGTATTTTATAAACCATAAAGCACTAAACAGATGTTTCTTTGGCTTTCCACTAGTTTCCTCTAATTTATTTGGGTTCTGATTTGGTTAAAACCTTGCTTTCTAGTTCTGATCTGAGTATTAGAGAATTATCTCAGTGACAGCATGAAGACTGTCAAAAAGCCTAAATGGATATGACTCCTAGCAGTACCCAAAGGAGAGAAAGGTTGTCTTCAGGTCCATAAAAATCTTAGTAGCAGTTGCTTATGTCTCAGTAGTGCTTTACAGTTTATAAAGTGTATTTTCTCATATTCTACAGCAGTGGTTTTCAAACTGTGGGTTTTGATCAATTAGTGGGTCTTAAATGGGTCATGCCCAGCATTATTTTTAAATGAACTGAGAAAATATCGAGTGCATGGGAGCATAGTAAAGGTAAGTATTGTTTTATGAAACTTTTAAATTATATGTACACTGGTGTATACTTGGGCCACAAAACATATCGCTTACTCTGGGTTGCAGTCAAAACACAAACAGAACCCTGCCCTATAGGCATTATGTATTAGATATTATCATCCCTCACCCACCCACCCCCGCAACCCCGCCGCCCCGTTTCACAGTAACTGTTGGTAAGTACACAGTTAAGACACAAATCTTCATTAAAAAACCATTGCTAATTCCATCATGTTCATATGATTTAAGGATAAACCCTAGTATCTGCTTTCCCCCCAGGGTAATAATTAAGTTTGCTTATAGAAGAAACTATGTCCTCTACCTCTACTTCTGGGGTTTAGTACCTAAAGCTAAGGAGAGGAGGTAACCTTTCATTCCTCTGCTAGGATTTCCTGAAAAGAATTTCTGAAACCAAAATTTTAATTGAAAGCTAGTTTAGACAAGAGAAAAAGAGGTGATCTCTTTATCTTGGGAAGCCAGCTAACACTCATTTGAAACCTCGGAAATTACTTATAAAGCACACTTGTAAGTATAAACAGCACAATCAAGTTAAATTGGAGATAATCCCTTTCAAAATATATACTATTTAAAAGAAAATAAAACTTTTTTTTTCAAACATATACCAGAACTTAGGTTGATGGTGATACCAAACACAGGAATTACACTGAAGAGGTAATAATTGTGTAGGCCTTCTTTATATGGTTTATAGTTTGTTTTTTATTGGTAAACATGCATCTTACAGTAGCATGATTTAGAATCTTATGATACAATAATAGTTAACATTATATGGAACTGTTTTTGTATAATGGTTTATTTAATTTGCTATACATTAGCCACCACACACTTCTGTTTACATTAAATTCTCTCTTGTCAGCTATTAATTCACCAAAATTTTAATCTCCTTTGGAGGTGATCAAGCTTTTTTAGTTTTAGGGGCTACAGTAGGAAGTTGTTACTCATAGACTCAGGGAACAGTTTAGTGATTTTCAGAAATAGAAAAGAAAGCATTCTGTCCTCCTCCCTTCACACATTATATCAGCATTGCCGGGTATGAGGAAAGTTATAGTTTATGAAATCATACTTAATATTGTAATGTTAAAAAGAAAAAAAGATTTAATTTTTCATAATATAAGAAATAAATTGGAAAGAACTCCTTGGCTGGTGGGAATACAAAGACAGACCAAGAAGTATTCAGAGTAAAGCCTATAATCTGAGTTATATAACAAACTGGATACCCAGAGATGTTTGTTGTGGATATGGTACCATTCATACTGCTATTCCTTAAAGTTTAATTTTGTATAAGAGGCTTTTTTAGCTCTGAAACACTTACTTATTTACATCTTCCATTTTGTTCATCCCATGAGTTAAGAGTTCATCTTGACTCTTCAAGCTAGAATCAGAGGATTATGAAAGTAAGATTGTTTAGATTGACCAAGGGCACCGTTAAATGGTGTCAGGTTTTAGCCAGCAGACAGGTGTATAAAAAGAAAATGAACAAAGATTTCACTTGTTGAGGCTCAGGCATAACTGGATGCCTGTATTGCCCTGCCACCCAGCTGCCGCCGGTAAAATCATTCATCGCTCTGCAAGAGGGACCAGAGGCTTCCATCATCAGTACTCCTGCTTTTCTGTTCTTTTCCTTGAGGTAGCTAAAGGTAGCAGCCAAAAAAATTTTTGAGGCTTTTATCAAGTTTGTATTCCTGAATGATGCAGAAGATAGGGTCAGCTTCTTCAGATGAGTTATCTGAAAGTGTTGGGCAGTGACACATGCCAAACACTGTTAAAAGTTATGCCACTAAAAACAGTGAAGTATTCTGCAAAGCACAATTTTCTGCAGTTTTAAGATTGGACAGTATTGGAATATTAATAAGAATCTTCAAAGGCCATGAATACCTGCCTAATACTAAATAACTCTTTTAATTGCAAAGGAGAAAAAAATGGAGAAACTAGTGAAACCTTGCATCCCGAGTGCCGCCATAACTTTGAGAGGAAATTGAGGAATTCCAGAATTTCTTCATCAACTTCTGCATCTGAATTCATTGACTGAGCCTATCAAACATCGGGTTTAAAAAACAAAACAAACATCAGCTCATCCTTTGCTCTTAGTGGAGATTAATCTACTGACAAAGAAAATCGTACTTTGCTTTGTTCAGAGTAAGGCTTTAAAAACTCTGGATGTGCTATTTTCACTAAGCCTAGCACTAAAGACAGTATTTTTGAGGTTGTATGAAATGAAATTAGTTGGAAGAAAAAAATAGAGAAGTATATGTTAATGGCACTACAGCAATGGCATGTTTTAGATCTGGGTCTTTGTCAGAAATTGAAGAAAACTGGAGAGATGTACTGTAGCAGTCACCACCAAGCATTGACTTCATCAGCCTGCCCATAAACTGCTGGAAATCTTAAGCCTTGCTGTCAGCATAACTGTTGTGAAAAGTAGTCCATCTGATCCCAGTTTGCCTTGGTTTTCAAAAATCTGAATGCTGTTCAGAGTATTTCCTGTCATGCACTGAGTTTCCTTGATCAGAAAACTTGGTTCACCTGAACTTCTTATGGACAGAACAACTACTTTGGGACACCAGTGATAAAGAATCTGTATTTTAAAACTTAAAGCAGAATTTAACACATTGAAGCTTAAAATAAATACATTGACCCTGAAATGTCAAGGAACAGACACCAACATCACTGCTTGTTATGAAATGAGCACTTTAAGCACTTGCCAAAAATCTCTACAAATGGCAAACTCATATGAAAAATGTCAGTTTTCTTGGCTAATCTTTCAAGAACCAGATTCATGAATGTTATTTCCAGGAAAAAAAAAAAAAAGGGGAAAATCTAAAACTATTCTGGGTGATGTTTTGTTGACTTTGTTCTTAAAACCTACCTGTGGTAACTTTGGGAAGAATGTCTCATGTTTCACACTTAATGTTCATTTCTCACTAGAAGAACTTCAGGAGTTTGTGGAACTCAAAGTTGGATTGTTTTGACTAGAAATTTTCAGATTTTAATCCTACATTATTCCATTTTTCTCCTTATATCTTAAAAGCTTTTTTTTTAAATTGGTATAACTAACTGTGGGAGAAAATACCGCAAGAGTGTTGTCAAAGCAGCTTGTGTTTTGTTGCATTTTCTACACCATCCAGGAAAGAAAAGTTAAGGCTTAACAGTGACATGGTTATTATATCATTTGAATAAATTTTTGCCTTCCAAAATTTACCATTTCTTTGATTAATTTTAGTCATGAAACTTAATTTTGTAATTTTAAATAACATTGAAGGAAGGAGAATGTGAGGTGTTAAGGTATATGGAAAGAAAAGGTGTGGGTTACAAAAACATTGAGAAAAACTGATATATATCCAAATCCATCAGATGCTCATCTGTTTATTGAATGTCTTCCCTACTAGGTTCAGCTGTTGACTGCTGTATCACAAGTCAGACTGTTTAAACTTGCTCCTCTCTACTGTGGCTGTACCCTGGACCTTTTCTTCACACAGACTTGCTACAAACCTGAAATCCTGAACTCCAATTGTACCATGAATTTAGCTCTTTGCATTCTAGTACAGTTAAACACACTCCAGTTATACATGCCCTTCATCTTTATGGAGGCCACTGTTCCACTGACTCCTAATTTTTTCCTTTCCCCATTTATCAGACATTTGCTAGCCTTACTTACTATCCTTCTGACCCTGTACCTCAAGATTAGTCTTGGCACAAAGAACTGATCCATGTTGTGTTCTAGACCAGGGTTTCTCAACCTCAGCACTCTTGTCATTTTGAATGAGATAATTCTTTGCTTTGGGGGGTGGGATATAGTCTATGCATTTGAGGATGCTTAGCAGCATCTGTGGATCCCACCTACTAGATGTATGGAGCACTCCTCCACCAGTTGTGACAACCATAAATGTCTCAGATGTTGCCAGATGTCTTGGAGGGAGTGGTGCAAAAGTATCCTTGGTTAAGAACCACTGCTTTAGTCTCGGAAAAGTTAGTCCTATCTGCAGACCTGCCATTACTGGCCTCACTTAGGCCGTATAGTCAGTACCTGGCAAGGAGGTTTAAAAGTGTTCGGGGAAGAATAGCCTCACCCAGCTGGAATTTTATTAAATGCAGTCATAGCATCAATGGATTAACTAAGACCCCTACTTCTCCCAGTTCTTGGCATACAGGTAACAGGGTCAACAGGCCTTTTTTTAAACTGAGTTGCCTATATAACTGCCATCAAGGACTAAGATAAAGCAGTATATGAAATAAGATCTAGAAACAATGAATAATAAAAGGCAATCACTTCAGCTATTCCTTAGTTTTAGCAGAGCCATACGGCAGTATTTAAGTATTCAGAACTAAGACCAGAGCCTCTGTTCCTGTCAGAGAGGGAGTAGCCCTGGACTGATCCATCAGCCCTTAAAGCACTTCTTTAAAACCTAAGGTTCCTCTGCCATTGGCCATCAACCTCTGGTCCCTGTGCCATGCCTCCTGAAGCCTTTATAGGACCTAGAGATTCTGTGCTGTTTCCCACCCCTTATCCCTGACCCCCTTTGGAAGCTATCCTATAACAGTAAAATTATCACATATTTATTGACCAATAAATTTGGGTTACAAAGAGGAGGCAGGGACAGTAGCCCTCTATACCAGCTCTAAGGACTTTCTGCAATGATGGAAGTATTCTAAATCTGTGCTATGCAATATGGTACAGGTACCACTGACTACATAGGACTTCTGAGCTCTTGCAATGTGATTAGTACAACTCATTTATTTTAAATAGTCACATATGGCTTGTGGTGGTTTAGTCGCTAAGTCGTGTCTGACTCTTGTGGCCCCATGGACTGTAGCCTGCCAGGTTCCTCTGTCCATGGGATTCTCCAGGCAAGAATACTGGAGTGGGTTGCCATTTCCTTCTCCAGGGGATCTTCCTGACCCAGGAACTGAACCCAGGTCTCCTGCACTGCAGACAGATTCTTTACTGAATGAGCTACAAGGGAATCAAATCACATTGGACTGTATAGTTCTATACAGAAACAGGTTGAATTTTGATCCTTCCTAGGACTCTCAAGAGTAGTAAAGTCCAAATGGAAGGTGCAAAAGGAAAAGACAATTTTCTTTTCTCAATCAGGAGAGAGGCTGTAAGGTTATATTTTTAGGTATAAAAGGAGAAAAGGCGGCTTTTTTTGTTGTTTAAATCTGACCAAAATGGCCTTGAGCCAGTTACACTTGTGATCCATATAGATCACATGTGGGAGATGTGACAGGAGAATTCTAATGGAAAGTAGCTAAAAACTGTTACCTGCTTTCCCAAAAGAGCTGGGGCTAGAACCTCAAAACAACACAAGTTTAAGTATAAATAAGCTTTTATTTGGTTTAACTTTTTAATGATAGTGTCTGCCCACAAATCAGAGCCCTCAGAGAATCTTGGACTTGGGGCAACAGCTCACCTGTGCATGTGGGAAGTATAGGAGGAGATGCCACAAGGCTCCTGTTATCAGGAGACCTGCTACTCTTCTCCCCAACTCTCCTGCTTCCAAAGAAGGGTGAAAATGGATACCTTAGGGATTTGAATTAGAAATAGCCTTAAAGAACAAGGAGGCTTATTCCTCCTAGCTGCATTCAGGCTGAGACCTTCCTTGCCTTTTCCCCCATCCTAAAAGATTCAGATCCAGAGTTGGTCAGGGCCTTCTGGTTGACAGTTCCACTTGTCATCAAGCAGGGCCCTGCAAAGACAAAGGAGGATCCAGGTGGTCTGCAAGAAGATCCCTGGAGGTCACACCCCCTTTTTGACTACCATTTCCTAGGCGTGTAAAATCCCTTCTCTCCCTCTATAGCAAAGGATGGAATTTCTCAGCACGCTCTGGCTATTTAACCCAGGTGTGAGCAGGGAAACGTTACATGGGCTGAGGGCTGTCTGCTTCTCAGCTCTCATATCTTGTAGTAAGCTGCTGCTGCTGCTAAGTCGCTTCAGTTGTGTCTGACTCTGTGCAACCCCATAGACAGCAGCCCACCAGGCTCCTCCATCCCTGGGATTCTCCAGGCAAGAACACTGGAGTCGGTTGCCATTTCCTTCTCCAATGCATGAAAGTGAAAAGTGAAAGTGAAGTCACTCAATCATGTCCAACTCTTAGAGACCCCATGGACTGCAGCCCACCAGGCTCCTCTGTCCATGGGATTTTCCAGGCAAGAGTACTGGAGTGGGGTGCCATTGCCTTCTCTGTGTAGTAAGCTGGTTAGCCTCAAGTTTCCATTTCAACACAATCGCCTGACCCTGGTTCATATGAAATTCTCTTCCTGGTAAAAAGCTGAGAACAAGCACCCTGGGTCACATTTTGTTTCTCCCTACCACTGAGTGCTGTTTTAAATCCTGTAACAAAGCAAAGAAGTATGCCTTTTGCTGGCATTTCTTACAGTCTTGCCTGGAATATAGCCACTTGCCCAGATCATGCCCACTTTCACAGCCTGTGACTCTGCACATCTGGTAAAGCAGGGGTCCCCAACAGGGTCACATAGTAGGAGGTGAGTGATGAGAGAAACCAAAACCACCTCCCCACCCTGCCCCCATCCGTGGAAAAACTGTCTCCCATAAAATGTTCCCTGGTGCCGAAAAGGTGGGGGACCACTGTGCTAAAGTACCCAGAGCCTGGGGAATGCCAGTCCATCTCTTAGGGAAGACCCACAGGATATGTTAGCAGCTTTCTGAGGGACTGTTAGACCTCAGACTTCTGCCTAAGACGAACAAGGGACCTTTCAAGAGATTAAAAAATGGCATGTGATTGCTTTATAAATCTATTTCCAGCATTGATTTAATGCCACATCCCTGCCTCTGACTAGGAAGAATGGAACAGAACCTATAATTATAGTCTCACATTTCCCTGTCTTCAGCCTTTTTGAACTTAATTCTTTAGGCCTCAATCATTACATAGCTTCTGTATACAGAACCTGACTCTAGACCCTGGAATGGAGGAAGCAGGGTAGAGATGGACTGGAAGAGATGTTAAACCCCTCACTCATAAGACCTTTGGTAAATCTTCTATTCCTTCCTTTATAAGAGTCTCATGATCCTCCAGGAGACCCTCTTGTTCAGCTTCTGAATTCTTACTTTTTTCTAGTCTTACTCCTCCAACCTAGCCTCCACTTTGACAACAAATGCCTTTCAGTAAGATCAAGGGTAGGCAGGTAGGCAGGAGAGGGATGAGATAATCTTTAAGAGACTGTCCTGGGCTTCAGGACAAAATCACTAGGGTGAACTGCCTACCCTGGATTTCACTCTGCCTTCTCTCTTGAAATAATCATCCTCAAACTTGTGCATGCAAACCATGCACAAGTTTGTATATCTCCTCCCCAAGCTGATCCCTCTGCCTAGAATGTCCTGCCTTTAACTACTTGCTCCTAACTAGTCAGCCTGTGAGGTTGACCACCAAAGTTAGAATCTTCCACATGCGAAACCCTCTACCTGGTGCTGGGAATGCAAAATGTGAGCAGAAACAGCCTAATCCCTATCCTTAGGGCACTCACAGGAGAGGCTGGCAGAATTTAAGAGACCCAACGCACACTGCACTACTAGTAGGACAGCATTAAATAAAGGAGCCTGACATACACCTGAGGGTCACAGAGGGCCTCCCAGATGTGGCAACTTGAGCTGAGACCTGAAGGAAGCTTAGATTTAACTAAGGGGAGGGGGGAGGGGTGGTGGTGGTGATAAGACATGGTGGGCCTTCCAGACAGAATAATGCATATTCTGTCTGTATGGGAGAGAATTGATGGATGAGTTGGAGGAGCAAGGGAGGGCCAATGTTGTCGTAACAGTGGAGTGTGGGGTATGCCAGAGCCAACCACACTGAGTCTGCAGAAGGACAGTAAAACAAAGGGAAGCCATCTGCCCAGGGCTGGCAGTCAGCAGGCCCTCCGGTCCCAGCCATACACCTTTCCCTTAGGTCCTCCCTCATCTCAGCATTCAAGAGAAGACCTCTCCCACCTCTTGAATGCTGGCAGGAGGGGATGGAGGCCTCTGCTCCTGGAGATCATGGGCCTCCAACAAGAAATCTGAAGGACTCTTTCCAGCTGTGTGGGTCCTAGGGGCTTCCTTCAGGAAAGGAATGGTGAGACAGACTTCCTTAGAAGAGCATCTCCAATTTCTTCTGTGGGATTCTTACCTTGTGTGGACTAGAGGTGGTGCCCATGAGGACAGGGGAAAGATGGGGCTGCCCAGGGGCTAAGACAATAAGTAGGTGAGACAGCAATAAGTTCAGAGCCAGAACTGGTTCTACCTACAGGGTATGGGCTGCCTGGAAAAGTGGGAGGATAGCTTGGAGGAGAGCCGAGTCTTCCCTAAAGGGCAGATGAGAGCCTCCAGCCGCCTTCCATTTCCCTGAGGTTGGAGAAGAAATTCCCTGAATGAGAAGGAAGAGGTCTGGCCCAACTTGGCCAGTGTAGTAAGTAGACTTTGTTGAGAAAGGCGCAGCTGATTCTCAAACTGTCCAGCAGCTGAGGGACAGCACTGCTGGAAGGGGCCAGGATTCCTCTGCTAACCAAAACAACCTACAGCCTCCTCAACAGGAGTGACGAGTCCAGGCGGACCCGTAACCAGGGCCAAGTGAGGGCTTCCATGCCAGGGGTCCCCAACTTCTGGGATCTAATGCCTGATGATCTGAGGCAGAGTTGATGTAATAATAATAGAAATAAAGTGCACAATAAATGCAATGTGTTTGAATTATCCTGAAACCACCCACCCCCACGTCCATGGAAAAACTGTCTTAAACAAAATTGGTCCCTGGTGTCACAAAGGTGGGGAACCACTGCAGCAGGGAGCCATAGCGTGCCCTTGAGGGAAGCAGGCTTGCATGTGGCTGTGCTGCAAAGGTCACTCCACCCCCACCTCTACTCAGAGCCAAAGCCAAAGAAGTCCCTAGCATTCCCAGGGTCAGGGCAAGGCCTCCTTCAGCTAAAGGCTGTCCTTCAGTGGTGCTGTGGCCTGCCAGCCTCCCCTCCAAGAGAGGAGAGACCAGGTGTGGCTGTAAAAGAGCTCTGAAGTGGGAAGCCAGAATCCCTCAGGGTGCCTGGTCAACGGGGAAGGCCACTACATCCCATTTCTCTCTCTCCTCTACTGGCATTGCCAGCTTAGTCCTGGTGAGCACCAGGGCAAATCCCAAATTCCCTCCTTGACCCCATAGGAGGGGCTACTGCCAGAATCATCTGAAGATTAAAGACAAGTGTGGGGAGAAGCCTGCGGGTTCAGAAAGTCACCTTCAACTGTCTCAGAGCAGAGACAGGGCAGGGAGGACCTGGGAGGGGCTGGGCAGGGGTGGGCTGGGAACCTGGGAGGGCAAGGATCCTCTGGGAGGCTTCTGGAAGAGAATCTGGTGTTCAGAAAGGTCCCATCTTTGAGCCAGTATGAGTGACCTTACAGGCTTCTTTTAAACCTGGTTTCCTCGCACCCTGCCTCAAGGACGCAGATTCCACAGGGGTATCCTGGACAAAATTCAAGAAACAGCCAAATGAGGTTTTTCGAGGGGGAAAAAATATAATAATGTGATTGAGTGAGGGTGTCTTTGGAGAGCAGAGGTAGGAGGTGGAGGAGCAAGTGTTCTTGAGGATAGAGGAAATTTTGTGTAACACATCTCACATTCCACAGAGATGACTATAGAATCACTCACCTCTCCATTGTGCTGAGTACCCAAGGAGGCTTAGTCATGGCCCAAGTTGTGGGCAGCAAGCTGGATACTAAGATGGGTGAAGGCAAGGATCTCCCACCATCACAGGAGAAACAAAACGCATGGGTAGGAACTTCCCTGGTGGTCCAGTGGCTAAAACTCTGTGTTCCCAATACA